TGTGTTTGTGTGTTTGTGTGTTTGTGTGTGTTTGTGTGTTTGTGTGTTTGTGTGTTCGTGTGTTTGTGTGTTTGTGTGCTTGTGTGTGTTTGTATGTGTTTTGTGTGTTTGTGTGTTGTGTGTGTGTTTGTGTGTGTTTGTGTGTGTGTTTGTGTGTGTGTTTGTGTGTGTGTGTTTGTGTGTGTTTGTGTGTGTTTGTGTGTGTGTTTGTGTGTGTTTGTGTGTGTTTTGTGTGTTTTGTGTGTTTGTGATGTGTGTTGTGTGTGTTTGTGTGTGTTGTGTGGCGTGTGTGTGTGCGTGTGTGCGTTGTGTGTGCGTTACGTTTGTGCGTTTGTGCGTGCACGTGCGTGCGTGCGTGCGTGCGTGCGTGTGCGTGTGCGTGTGCGTGTGCGCGTCTTGTGCATGCGCGCGCGCGCGAGCGCGTCTTGTGATCGCGGCAGTGTGCGTGTGCGCGTGTGCACGTGTGCACGTGTCTTGGCGTGATCCATCCAGCACCTTGTGACCTTAATGCGCGCTTGTGCCTTGGCGAGCCTTGGGCGCGTGTGGGCGCGCGGCGGCTGCGGCCGCGCGCTCTGGGCGCGCGCAGTGTGCGCGCCTGCGGGTGCGCGTGTGCGGCGTGCGTAACGTCGCGGCGCGTGCTATTGTGGCGTAACCGTGCGCGTGCGCGTGCGCGGTTCTTAGACTCCCGGCCCCATGTGTGTGTGCAAACGTGTGTGTGCGTGTGTGTGTGTGTGTGTGTGTGTGTGTGTGTGTGTGTGTGTGTGTGTGTGTGTGTTGTGTGTGTGTGTGTGTGTGTGTGTGTGTGTGCGTGCGTGCGTCGCGCGTGCGCGTGCGCGTGCGCGTGCGCGTGTGCGTGCGCGTGCGCGTGCGCGTGCGCGCGTGCGCGTGCGCGTGCGCGTGCGCGTGCGCGAGCGCGAGCGCGAGCGCGTGCGTGCGTGCGTGTGGGTGTGTTTGTGTGTGTGCCTGTGAGTGGGGTTGTGTGTGTGTGTGTGCGTGTGCGGGTGCGGGTGTGTTTGTGTGGGTGTGCGTGCGCGTGTGCGTGTGGGTGTGTGTGTGTGGTTGTGTGCCTGAGTGTGTGTGTGTGGGTGTGCTGAGCGTGTGCCTGAGCCATCCGTCAACTTCGCACCAAGTTTGGGCCTTGACGCAGGTGAAGCTATAAGCCCAGCAGAGAAACTACAAGGAAACATCCCCAAAGCATCCTGTATTGTTTGAACATTGGATCCCCAAATCAGTTGGCGAACGTGTTTTGCAAATGCCGGGGTTGTAACATAAATACAACTGACTCTGCAACTGGCCAGCACGTGATATGCAGATTCTGCCAAGGTGCGCGAATGGGCCTCTTTCTGTGCCCGACTTTGCGAGCCCTTCTGAAAATTGAAGATGGGCTGCAGCGGATGCACTCATGCCACATGCCCCCTCACAGGCAAATCTCCATCTTGGAGGTGGGGAGGGGGGAGCCCAGTCAACTGTCAAGAGTCCAAGTGAAAAAGTACCCAAAACAAGCTTCATACTGCAGAGTGAGAGCCGGGGCATCCTCGTCTCCTTCTTCTCGGTTTCCACCTTGCGGCGACCGCCGGCCAAAACGCAATGAGCCCTGCTTTTTTGGCTAGCGTGCTTCATCACGACAGCATACATTGGACGTCAACCAAGCCGCTACAAGTAAGGGCATGGGTTGGCCTTGTCCGGGCGATTGACTTCTGCAGTAAGCCTTTGGCACCAGCAACTGTGTCTGAGCGCGTAGCTTGGTCCAGCGGTGTATCGCCGTAGCGCTCAATCAAATATTCATCAGACCTTGCATTCAAAAGTCGCATCTCTCAGCCTCGCCGTCTCTACATCCCTCAGGGGGGAAGAAACTCACAACCCAAGGGCCCGGCTCCCTTCAAAGAGAAACGGGTTCCGAAGCCTGGGTCCCTGAAATCTAGTTGCTAGGATTCATATGGTGACGGCGCATGCAATTCGGATTCAGGGTGCAGTGCTTGCCCCGAAGAACCCTTGGCTGATTCGAGCAGCGACGCTTGAAGTGCCTCCCAAACAAGCGATCTGACACCAATCGAAGGTGCGGCAAATCAAGGGCAGGCCCTTGCCTAATGCAACCAAAGGGGTTCCCTTTCTGGTGGGGATGTTTCAGCCAGGTTTCCGTCAGTAAGCTGCACCTGCACCCCCTGGGGGCGGCACCACTGCTGAAAGGCGGGCATGCTCCTGCTTCAGCTGCTTGCAGCCAGCAGTTTTTGCGCAACTCTCTGGCCAACCAGTTGTTGCGACACGTTTGGAGCTTGACAGGTGGCAGGTAGGATCCATTTGCACGGAATTGCTTCTGTGAGGCTTCTGCATGACCACGAAGGGCCGAGGCAGGCTGCCTCTTCATAACCAATGACCTCTGTGACCTGTTGGATTCTACCGGACCTTTTTAGGACCGCCACTTGGCCCGCTCAGTTTCGGCCGTGAAGGCAGGAAGCCCTGGAGCACTGTCATCAGAGACGTAGCCACTCAATGAGCAGAGCGTTCTGCCACGAGCCAGGAGTCTCATTGTGACACGAGGGTGTTGGTGAGTGTAATTGGTACGTTTGGGGGGCACTGTGGCTCCGAGGACTGCTGAACCCATACCACTGTGTGTCAAGGGCAGCTGCGTTGCCCTCTCCTGGCGGCGCCCTTCAGAAGCACCGGCTTGCCGATGCCCTCAAAGTCCCCACCCTGCCACCACGGCGCCCGGGCGCGAGCCCCGGCAAGAGTCAACACGGTGGCCTTGAAAAGTAGTCACGTCAAACTTGCCCGGCGCTTGCGAACATAACGGGGCTGGCCTTGTTCCTGATATACCTGGCAAGGGCTGCTGGCCCAATGTGCTGCCCAAGAAACGCATGTTCTCACAGTGACAGGCAAGCTCGGCGACATTGCAGCGTGGTGGAATTGCAACTCACCACACTCGTTGCCCGCATCTACGAAGCTAAAATTCATACTATTCGAAACCCGGCCTATTGAAGAACTCCTCTGCCGATGGAAGCTCCTCTGGCAGTGCGGGCGTCATGCTACTACGCGCAGTTTGTAGCATCCTACACGATTGGTATCCCATGTGCTGCATATCCAGCCGGTGCATCCAATGTCGTGTTTGCCTCTGGCGTAGGATCGCTGACAAACCTGACCACATGAACCTGAAAAATGGAGTCCCTAAAGCGGATCGCAGGCCTCATGGATATTTGGCCGTAGCAGAATTGTTTTCCATAGGTTGGACACAAACACCCGCCCATTGCAACAATCCAAGCTAAGAACCTTCAATGCGCCTCTCAGGCTCCCTGGCGTTCAATTCCGAAACATCATGCTGCCATATGTTGCAGTATTGTCCATGGAGAACGTGTGATCAACTCATAGCTTTGCTCGTGTGACCCCTCCCCCCCCCAACAAAAACAATATGGCAAGAGACCACTGTTTGGGGGAAAACAGGGACACAACACTTTCCCAAAGTAGCCACTTGCGTTCATCTCAGATTTTAGCCACGTCCATGTCTCCCTTTGTTCTGGCGTTAAGGGTCCCAGACCGGGGATCCGCGTCCAGCGCGCACGAAAGCAGGCAGCTTGCAGAATTTGAGGGCAGCACGTGGATGACCTCCACACTGCCCTGCGGTTGGCCCACGGACCTCAGCCAGCGTTGCAAAGATGAAATTTCGGCCGCCACGCCGCAGTTCAAAGCGCAACATTGTGGCATCATGCAGGCAGGCAAGCAGGCAGGCCCCAGCCCACCGCAATTCAAAGAGCCTCCGTGCCTGTAGGTTGAACAACAAGCCCGCCAGACAGGGACCCTACCTCTAACTTTGACACTCAGCTTCGTATCACGACCCTTGTGCTCCCCGGCCAAATAGAGTTGCCACAGGCCAAAGGCAGAGTAGCCTGGCATGTGCAGTCAGGCTGCCGTCAGGTGAAAGCCCTAGCTTGCAAAGCCTGCCAGCCAATGCGGCTTGAAAAAGAGCCTGCACAAGGTTCTGGCATCCAGGTAAAACTTGTCAAAACATGTTTGCCTCCCTCGGCTGAGTCAGTTTCTTATGTGTCGACCATTCCCCTTTGAACATCACCAAACCCCCCGGAAGCTCACTGGAAGCTGAGCCCAAAGCGTGATGTTTCAAATAGAAATGTCAACCAGGAAGGAGGGATCCTGGCCCTTCAACTTATGAGGCAAAGCAGCTGGACGAAACTTGGGAAAAGGGAAGCATGACGCCACTGCCCCTTGGCCAACAGCATGGCAGCAATCCGCCAGGCTTGCAAGGCCCGTCCAGGTCCACATAGCTCTGTCCGAGGCGCAGGAGAGTGCCCGCGAGTGAAGGGCTTGCTACAAGAAGCTAAGCTGCCTGGTGGCCATGGGGACTAAAGGGGTCTCTACCTCAGTGAGGTACCAGCTGAAGAAAACAGGAAGACTGGGAGGACTCCGCTGAATAAGACAAGGGTTGCCACAATATTTTCTGGAGGGACGAACTTGTTGCGTGCGTGCTTGCGCCTGTTTCATGGCCTCAGTTGGCTTCAAAGTGCAACAGCCAGATGGACAAAAGCTCAAAGCTCCAAGCCAATGTGGCTGTGTTGCCCGAGCTCTAGAACGTGCATCCTAACATGTTGCGCTGCGGCCTGGTCGTGGCTGTGCAGCTACTGGTGTTGACTATCGTCGACTTTGTTGCGTTGCCGCTTTGAGCTCTGGTGGCTGAGCATAAGCCAAAAAGCTGAGGGCGAGCAACATCAACGCTAGTAAACGCATAGCCTCTGCTCCCTCCTTGGGCGTCATCACAGTACGTTAAAATCTGCACCTGTCAGCCCGCCTTCTGCTATGAAAATGCGCAAACCACGCTGTCATAAGCCGTTCATTCCCAAGCTAGTCTGATCGGGAATCTGAAGCAGCTTCTGTGCAAACCGAGGGCCAGCTTGGAGCACAACCCCCGCAAGTGATGTCAAGGTGCTGCTTATCGTCTTCGACTTCCAAGGTAAGACCTTCCACCCATGCCCGGCAAAACAGGGCCGTCGGATTGCCTTGGAGTAGACCATCATGGATCCCCAGCCTGGGTGCGAAGCTGTGGGATTGACCGGTGAGTTGGCAAGCAGCAGGAAAAATCTCGTGATTTTGTCTGCTGAGTCAGCTGACCATGACGAAAACCCATCAACAAACATCATCGCCCATCAACGAACATCATCAAGGTTGCCAACTCAACCGACACAGTTCTAGAGGGGTACCATCATGCGGGTGCGGTGGCTAATCGAAAGAACCAAAAGTAGGGGCCAAATATGAGGGCCAGGCCGATATACACGGGCTTCTCCCCTCCGTTGATGAAATCAGTGCAAACCTGGCGTTTGCAATCGGCTGATCAATACCCATGTTAACTACCAAAGACACATTGAAGCCGCCAATCTGACAATCATCGAGCCACCTAATGGATAGGAATGCCTAGCTTAAACAACTTCAGGACAGGCCGCATTCGCGGCCTGAACGCCTTGTGCAGTTTCATCACACTGTGCTTGGTGCGCGTAATTTCATCTCCGTGGGCAGGGCGCCCAGGTGCAAATGCCCCTTGCCAGTATTTGAACCCTTTGCCCCCCCCCCTCCCCCCCTTTCCTGATGCTGGCCGCCGGCATCGAAGAGCGTGCCGCCCTTCAGAGCGGCTTCCTGCGCCAGCAATCAGATTGCTTTCGAAACACACCCGTTTGCTGCAGACATGCTGCGCTTGCTGCTACTTGCTGTTACTCCCTCCCGATCTTTGCAGACTTCGCCTTCAAAGGCAAGGCCCAGTGAATGAGTGAATGATAGTTCAGCGAACCGATCTGGCGAACAACTCGTTGCTATATGCCATCATGTTCACAAGCGACCGGAGCTCCAGAAGCACCTTGCTGAGCCTGAATTGCCATGCAGTTGGAGTTGGCACCCCTTTCATTCTCAAGGTGAACAACTAAAATCAAACCGTGATGTCAATGACATGCCTTACGCAAGGAATGCACAGGCGAGGCCTTCCAGTGTAAGGATATGTTACGCCATTGGTTTAGCCGCAGCTTAGTTCTGGGAGTTTGGCTAGAGGTGCATAGAGACTCCACTTCTTTTTGCTATATCTATATGTATGTATAGTCGCACGATGACAACATCGTATATTTATGTGCTTGGACGCATCTAGCGTACTTCTGTTGCACAACGGCCGTCGAGCTTGAAAGAATACATTGTACTGCACATGCTTGCTTGGAAGAAGCCAGCAGCTCTCTGATCTTTTCCGAGCCCTTTAAGAAACCCTGCTTCGCCTCGCTCGGAGCACAAAGGAAGTGCGCGTAAACGTTCGGAACTGCGTGCAACGGCACGCTTCTCCCCGCAGTGCTTGGCCGCATGCAACTCGGGCAACCGCGCGCGGGTTGTGGGTTGTGCCAACCCTGGCTTCCCAGCCTCCTGCACCTCCTTCGGGATCTTCCAGTTGCCTGCCATCCGGTCACAGCGCCGCGCCACGTCGCCAGCGCGCACAAGTGTGCTTGCTTATCTTGCTTCAAGCTCCGGGACCTGCTTCAAAACTGACACCCTGGGACCCAGGTGTTGCCCGGCCCTTCCTTTGCAAACGGGCATCCCTTCTATGAAAGCAGCGACTCTGACCTAGGCAGCAGAAAGCATTGCTCATGCAATCTTGCATGCCTGTGATGTGAAGGTTCTTCTTGGGCCAGTCGTCGTAAGCTGGCCACCTCATGTAGAAGCATGCGAGAGGCAGATCGCCTTGTGGCCCGGTAGGCTATAGAACACAAAATGCCCCCGGCCGGGGCAAAACAACTGGCCACAATTCTGTAAGTCGCGTGCTGCGGTACAAAGATTACTGTTGCTCACAGCATTCAAAACAGCGACTTGTACTTGCCACATCTGCACATGCAACTAGTGAGCTCAATTTACCACAACGACAAAGCACCTGAAGTGGGCTGCATGTTGGTTTGAACCATTTCGGCCCAAGAGCAAAAGAACGGATCATTTAAGGTTTGGTTGACAAGAGGTCACTCAAGGGTGGATGCTTTAGCTGCTGCACGGGTTGAGCTATAGCCGCAGCCCTGAAGCAAGGGCAACGTGCACGCGTGGCCGCCCCCTTTCACCGAACAAACGGAAAGCGAGTTTGCGGTAACAAGTCGCTTCGCTTTTGGGCCGGCCTCCTCGGTTTCTAGTCAAACAGTCAAACAGTCAAACACGTTGAGCTGGGTTTGTCTCTACATGGGGAAGCCAGCAAATTTTGTGTATGGGCTCTGGCCTGACTGGGGCTCGTGTTGTCTTTTAGCCATGGACCATGGGGGACTAACCAAGATGGAGCCTAAGCATTTGAGGACCTGCCCCGCCCCCCACTGGCGCTCTGGTCAGCTTCCCCAGGGTCACTGGCCAAGAAGGGCTGTAGGCCATGAGTTTGGGTGTGGGTTGCTCCTGACGGGCTCCGGGATGTGCCCTCGACAGTCCGATCACTTTGTGCTGCTTTGGCCCCGCTTCAACCTGTGCTATCCCAAAAGCATCCATTCCAATCCGTGTCAATGGATTCCACAGTATTCCCAATTTGTTCTGGAATCATGATGGGTACTGTTGCAGGAGTGTTGGCCACAAATGGCCCTTGAAGCAGACACGCTCGAAGCCACGAATTTGAGATGAAACCCCTGAGCCGCTCCAACAAAAGCCCTTTTCGAGGGGAAAGACAACGTTGGACACGGGTGGCAGCTTGCATGTGCGTTCACAAGTGGGCATGCAAGACCTGACAAAAAGCAGCGCCAAGGCGGGTCTTGCGCCTGCGCGCCTCACAGACCAATAAGCGGCCGGCGAGTCTCATGCCTCAAGCTTCCCTCTCCCCGATTTCGCGGGAACCCTCCGAGCCAACGGATACACGTGAACGGAGGCAATGAATTGCAAAGTGAAGCAGGGAAGGTCAAACACGTTCAGCCAATTGAGACAGCTTTGGGCAGTGTGCTCCTTGGTTGCCCTTCACAGCTGCAATGTACAAGAGGCCAACGTATTTGGGCCTGAAGGGAAGAGAGGCCGAAAGGGAAGTGGTCCGAACCAATCCACGACATACCCAAAAAAGGACCCAGATTTGTCGTTTGTCCTTTTCTGTAACACGAAAAGGAACGGCAAAAGGCCGACTTTCTGGAGACTCAAGCGATGCTCCTCCAGGTTGAAGGTACCTTCATAGACGACTTGCGGGGTGTGCATGATGTAAGGCCTCGCGAGTACTCGCGACGCGTGAGAGTACAAGCCAGGCCTTCCGGCAAACCAAATCCAAAAAACAAAGTGAGTCACCTCCCGAAATCAGCGAGGCAACTGACTTTGGAAAGCCAAAAACAGGTTGAGCTTGTGCTTTAGTTGCTTGCAGTGGCAAAGGCCGGCAATGTCAAAGGGAAGGAGATTCGGCCAAAAAACTGGCTTGGGCGATACCTGGTTAGCCTTGCAAACTATCCAGCGGACCTGCCACCACCAAGTGGATGGTGGGATTTTAGATCAGCCACTGAATGGGCTTCACCAGCGCAACTGTTGGCGGGTAGGATGCAAGGAATACCAGACGTGAAGCTAGCTTCGCCAACCAGAGCTAAAGTGTCTTTTTACGCGGCTAAGGCAGAAGTTCAGCGTTGGTGACATTCCTAGCTAGTTCCGATTCCGTGAGCAGTGGCCGTGTTTCCACATCGGTGCCATCCGGTGTGGCCCCCCAACAACTTGGACCGGACTGCTCAGCCGTGCATATCTTCGCTGGATGTGCCAAAAAGAGCAAAGAGCATTCGTACCCTCCCTTATATAACTCCAAGATGATCTGATGAGATTGCTGCTGCCGCTGTCGGCCGAGACTCTGGCTCTTCGCCTTTCTTCAGCTGCTCCTGGCCTCAGGTAGGTGAAGCGCTTCGTGCGCAAACGCATGTGGCGATTGCTTCTTGGAAGGAAGGCGGTACGCGGTGCCCATGAGAAGCCCGTTGCCATTGTGAAGTATGCCTATTGAACTGTATGCTGAGACTGCGGCTGCTTGGTCCTTATGCGCCCTTATCAAAGAAGACATGGGAGCAAAGTAACAACGTGGCAGCCTGAAGTGCATTTCCACGACCAACGTCGTCGCCGCATTCAGCCTCACACAAACTGCCGCTAGATCTTGCCCATTTCCCTGGGCACCAAGGGCCGCCCGGCGAAGAACTAGCCCAGTGCCCGAGGTGCTGGCAGGCTTGGAACATGCCCACTGCGGCACTTTGTGACTCCAGCACCTCAGAGCTCCACGGAAGTGCGTAACAATCTATGAATTATACATCCGAAGGCCAGTCACTGACTAAAGAGAAGGGCCAACCAATTGACCAGGATGATCGGCCCCAGTGCGCCGTCTTACAGGTTACAAGTGTTTTGCAGGCCCACCTTCAGCTTGGAAGTGCAAGAAACTATGAGGAGGCAGTTGAACTACTCGATGATCTGATACGTTGCTTAACAGGTCGACCCAACCGTGACCGAAGGCAGGCGAGCTTAGGCCGCACGCCCACGTAAAGAGCAGGGGCTGGCCCGGCTCCAGTTCCAGGCGTTGCATGTTGATCGACCTCAGCCGCTGAGGGCTGCTGCTCAAGCGTCCCGCAAATCGCAAATCCTGCAGGTCCTGAAGAACGCTGCACAGCTTGCTCTGGCTTGCAAAATCCCAAATCCACCCAGTGAGGGAAAGGTAAGTCCTGTTGTGCATGCACTGCTTGCCGCAAATTTGCAGGGTGATAGTCTGAGATTCCTGGGCCTCTTAATTGGCTGTGTTTTTTGGTTGGGACGCAAAACCAAACCAAATGCAAAGCCAAATCTACACAGCACTGGGCAAGCAGAAAATGGACCATAACCAATGCCAAGGTCACTTCTGAACAGTACCGGGAGCAGCATTACCTAGCACGAAAATACCATCTGAACACTGCCGGGGGCGGACTGGGCCAGAGCCAGAAAGGCGCCCAAAACAACTAAGTCAGTTTCCAAACAGTACTGGGCCGAATACAAAGCCTCACTAACCCAATACCTCAACCATTTTGAATCAGCGCAGCAGCAAGCAACCAGTCCTGTACCAATATTGAACTGTGCTTACTGCACAACTATTTGGTCAGATCCGATTCTTGCCTCGCGCGCCACTTGTCTGTGCGACGAACAGATGCTGAGTGCTGCACTGAATATGGTTGGTTGCGACACAATGAGGCCTTGGCATGGCGTGCCGGATCAGCCGGGCACAGACGGGCACAGCCGGGCACAGCATGACATGTTCTGGCCCCTCTACGGTCAGAGTCAGGACCCTCCCAGTGGACAGGATCTAAAGAATTGGCATTTTGCTTTGGCCGTTCTACAAGTGTGCGGGACCTCCAAGATTATGTTGAAAGGAAAGCAGGCATGCAACAAACCAAGTTTGCCTCCACAACAAGCGCTGCGGAAAGCCCCCCAAGCAATCCACAAAGCTAGTTCAGGCTACACAAGCAGAGGTCCAATAGTTCAGGCCCCCAAGCCTTCACGTGTGGTCAACCAAGTTCTCACTCCCATGTTGGAGAAAGCATACGTGAAAACATATTGTCTCAGCGAGCGGCCAAATGCGTTAGCAAAGGCATCAAGCCACTATGTGCCTGTGTACGTGTCCTTGTCCACGACGGCCTGCGAACCCAAATTTGAACTCAGTCAGTTCCGGTCAGTGGGCTGCCCGGCTGATAGGCAGCGAGCATGTCAGGCACGTCCGGGCAAAGCTGCTTAAATCTGGGCGGCGGGGATTGCAACGACGGGGGGCAAGGTGGCCCTGAAGCCCTGAAGCGCCCGTAAAAATCGGGAACACTGACAACAGTGACTAGTTCGAAGCCGCACCCCACCAGCAAGGTCAACAAAACGGTCAAACACCACTGCATGACCTTTGCTGCAAAAGCCAACTGCCAACGCCCAACGAAGAATGGCCGCGTCATTAACAAAATATGCAACGCCTCTGGTAGATTTTCTGAACACGCCAGCATTGGCAACACGGCTGGCGCAGCTACCCAGCTGCACCCAGAGCAATGGGCGGGGGTCCTCCCGCACAACGCCGCAACACATTTTGCGTTGGCCGGCCCTACATTGCGCTGGAATTGCGGCAGACCGTCTGTCGCAGCTGCCCGAGCTGCACCCAGCCAGTGAGGAGCCCCGCTCACAAGGCGCCGCAATACGCGCCGCACCGTTGCGTCGGCGCCAGGGAGCTTCCGAGAAAATCCAAGTCAACCTTGTGCTCCTTACACAAGTCAACGCACAGGCAGCCCGTCCCGACCCAAAGCATCTGCACACGCACTGCACCCCCAATCATTGTGGCACGCAGGCAAAGGCCGCAGCGGCAGCTGCAGCGGAAAGCACCTGAGGCCGCTCTTGCGCATTCGCCCAGGTCAAGGCCGCGCCATGAGGAGCTCCGGGTAAGTCCTCTCCCACTTGCACCGAGCCGCTTGCAGCAACCAGCCCCAAGGATTTCAACGGGTTGTCAACATCCCTCACGTGTACTTTGATGTTGTATCAGGCATGCATCTTGCCCCCAACCTTTGCGACCTCTGGATACGAGGATGGGGTGTGAAGGGGAGCGTCAGCTTGATCCTGGACACCTGAGGCTATGGGTGCTGCAGGTGCAATACACCTACGCTGGCTGCAGCCATATGCACAAGTTGCGACGTGGACATGCATGTGTGCATACGTGTGTGTGTGTGTATGTGTTTTTACATATTTACACATGTACTGATATACATACTTCATCATGGGAAAGCTCGACTTTGGCCCCAAAGTGAGATCACGAATCCGGAACGAAGAAGCTCGGGAAAACGTCAAAGCGTGCTTTGCCAGGGGAGTGGCGGACTCAGCGCCCTTGACTGCCAGGTTGGCATGCAGGCTGGGCACGGGGCAAAATTCAGAGAGCCGCCTTGCCTATGAAGCTGAAAGCTGAGCCATTCGAAGCCCAATACCTCCCCTCAACTGGGGGCTGAGCACGGAAACCTCGCCGCCCATGAGGCTCGTCCTCGGCATTTGGATCCATTTTGTGCCTTGGGCTGGCGGCTTGCAATTCGCACTGGCTTGCCTTTATATGCATCACTGCATAGGTCGTTCATAAACTACACATCCACAACAAAATATGTCTCGCATCCCAGCGCCGCCAACTGTCTTTCACGATCGCCCCCATGACCAAGTGGCCAAGCGTGTTCATGGCACACATCTACACACATGAAAGCATTCCGGCATAGATCTCTCAGATGGCACTGTGTCAATGTCAGCCTTTGCTCCGACGATTCGACGGGAGGACATGTTCTGTGCTGGGACTGCGGCCATATCAGCAAATCGGGTTTGAACCTCAGTCGCGCTCCTGGCCTTCACGTCACTGGCATTAAATAAGATACCAGCTTCCTGCAATTCAGCTGGCGCCAAACTCTCATACAGTTCGTTGAGTCAGTCGCATCTGCGTCGAATTAATGGGGCTGTTGCTTGTCTGCCAAATATTTAGGCTCAATATACGCACCAATTCAGACCAAGGTGTTCGTAAAACATGTGCGGCCCAGTCATCTCTCGCGATCGGCATCATTCTGAGGCGCAAGCTCCGAGCATGACTTCTTGAAAATTTCTCCCCAGTCAGTAGACCTGCCATGGGCAAAGCGTCGAGATGGCTCGAGGTTCCGCGATTTCCTCACGCCTTGCGGAGACAAACTTTATGACACTGCAGCCTTGCCCTCAGGCTTGTCTGCAAATGGTCAGGCCGACATTCCGTCAACTTCGTCATCAAACTCCTGGTTGGTCATGACCATGACGATGTCACCTGCAACAGATGCAACTCACGTCTCAAAATAAAACGTGTTTATAACTTGCTGGAAGTATATTGGTGTTGTCATCGCGCATAACCGGCCACTGCAAGAAAGCAAAATTTACACTTTCAAGTGTCCGTCTCAAATCATCTCAGCACATGGCCCCAGTGCAACTGACTGCCCTAACAAAAGCAGTCTTTGTTAATGCTGAAGTCATTTGTTAATTTGAAAAGTTACAATTTGGATAAGGTACTTCGCGGTCCAATTCATGAATGCTGTCAAAAACGAGAGAGCATGTTTCGGAAGTCATTGTTCAAATCAACAAAGCTCTCTTGCTGCATTACCCTCATTAATCAATGATTGATATTATTCGCCAGGTATACGTTTCGTTGAAACGAAATGGTACAAATGGAAGGAACAGGTTATTCACAAATAGAACTTGTTTGATTGCCAAACAATGACACACGCATTTTGAAAACGATATCAATAGAATACAATCGAACCGGCTCAAGTTCAATGATGCCTGCAAACTTTGGGCAAACCGTCTCCTGATGTTTATCCGAGAGTTGGAAAGGCACGAGTGCGCTACTCAGCCACCATGCATCATATTTGTTGGAGTGCCAAACAGCAAACAACTTGTTGGCTTGTTCTGTTGCTTGCTCCCTATGGCTGGTTCGTGCCTTGGATTTTGCAGCCCCGAGCTGCCTCCAACCAGCAAGCACCGCTGTGTGAGATCAGTCGTTTCTTCCCGAGCGCTCTCCTTCCTGTACTGCTAGCGATTGATTGAGCTGCGAAACTGCCCGTGAAACCGAAGAAACGTATCAGTGAGCTCAAACACCTTTGCGGCAAAGATTCATACCGTTCTTGCTGCGTGCTTTGTGCACTCTGTTTGCAATGCAAAAGCTGGCTTGCCCAGATGAAACACCTTGCAATTCGGGTTTAACTACTGCCACTTCTGTTCCAATGGCGGGCTGACTTTTCAACTGCCCTGACCCCCTCTCAAGGCCACTCCCCGTTCTCTCCAGACCTTTCTCCATGGCCCGCAAGCCCCGCTCTGTGGAGAGAAAATCCTGCAAAGCCGTGAAGCAGCTCTCACAGACCTTGTTCTCACTCGTAGCACTTTGAGTATTCTTGTTTGTGCGGCTGTGCGGGCACGCTCTCGGCCACATCCCTCACATCCACCAGAAATCTGCATCCAGCATCCAGCGATTTACCAGCAAAGGACTTTCGGAAAGCAATGGCTGTTCAGAAAGGACCTTGAAGCTGCTTTTGGACAGCCTTTCGACGGGCCAAGCTGGGCCAAGTAAGATTGCTCCGAACTGATTTGTTTAAGCTCGCAGGCCCCTGTTCTGCAAACGGCTGTTGTGCACACACACACACCCTTTCCTGACATCATTTCCAGCCCTTCCAAAGGGCATACCACACTCCTGCTTGTTAAAAAGAAGTGCCAGTCAAAATCGGTGAAAAACCAACTCGAAAGAACAACAGGAGGTGACGGCCCGAACTTTATGAACTCGAGGCTTCCCTGGTGTCCTTGATGTCGATGGCGCAAACCTCCGCGTCGAGTCCGAACTCGGTGGCCATCCTGGGCACGCCCGATTCTCACGGAAAACAGAACAGCCCCTGGAAATCAAGTTGCGCACAGGGCCGCTGCAGTCAGGCAGCAAGCCAAGTGCACTCGGACTGCGTGTGAACTTCTTCACCCACTCCTGCCCCTTGCCTCTGCATACCCACGCCACAGAGCCGCAAACCAGCAACGGGGGTTGGTGTGGCATCTCTGAGTTTGTGCGGAGTGCAGTTTGAGTTGCCATCATTTTCCCTTTGCGTATCGAAAGAAGTGGCTGCCCGAAGCCACTGGACGATGTGCAATCCAGAGCATGGGGCATGGATTCGTCACTACGTGGAGCCGGTTGTCCCCAGGCGCATGCTGGTTGTCAAAATACAACTTTGCTCATTCGCGTCTATCTGTCCACGGCACGGCAGGTGCCAACTGAAAATCGATGTGGCGCCTGTCTACATCATTCCAGGACCCAAAAAAAAAAACACCACACCGTCTGGGCTCCCAGCTGGACATGTCCAGGATTGCAAAAGAATTTCACCTTGGGAACTGCAGAGCAGCCCAGGACCATATGCTGCAAGAAAACACATGGGCTGGAGAGAAAAAAACGTGAACAAGCCTTATAACTTATAACCGTACGTATCGGTGAGTATTGTTTTTTGCCCTCTGCATCGGCTTGCAGTGTTCTCGCAGCTCCGGCTCAAAACAACGCAACTTTCAGGACAAGTGTAGTAAACGAAGTCTCCGGCTCGCAAGTTGTTCAGTACAAGTGTAGTAAAGTGTCGTATACAAAGTACATTTTGGAAGCTCCGACTCAAAAATATGGATTCGGAATTGCGGCTCAAATCATGAGATGCGTGTCGATTGGGCATTAGTTTGGACATCGTTTTGGGCCCTGCAACTTTCTGACTCTGCAATCTTGGTTTGCTGCGGCAGCAGTCAGCCAATGAGTGTTGTCTCTCACAGGTACGCTTTTATCTTTGATTTCTAGAGACCTTCAAAAATCCTGCGTTTCGTCAAGCCAGCAGAGATCGCGTTGATGAGCCAACGCACACAACAGAACGCATACATGAAACAGCTGCCAACCCGAACAACGCATTCGCTAGACCGCTTCATCCCTTCGGTGATCTGAGCAACTGCATGCGGCTGGGGCTCGGTGTGTCCTGCTCGGACCTTGGCAGCTCAAACATGGCCATGTCATTACATGTCTTGTCAACAGTCGTACCAGAGAGGCAATACGCGTGCAGCAGCCCTAAAACCATGAAGTTGACAGTGACACAGTCACAATCAGTGCAGCTATGCTGTGTCACAATGTCAGACCTTTACGTGATGCTCTTAGTTTTGTTGATGCAACTGTTGCGAACACTTCACGATGCTTTATACCTGATATGCAATCTGCCATCCCCTGAGCCACCGGCCAAACCAAGACCTAGTGCAAGAACTGGCTGAAAATCTCCTCTGGTCCCCTTGGCAAAATCGTGCTTGCATGAGAGCCCACGGCCCCACTTCCACAGAATGATGCCAAGTTCGATACAACCAACGCAGGAACCGCCTAGACTACAGAAAGCCTACCTCTTTGCAAGCTGCCGGTGAGTGCCCGGCCTGCGCAGCAATTGCGCATCTGATCGGCCCTTGGCAAGCGCAGCGTAAGCATCCAGTTGTCATTTAAAATGCCATTCGGCCCCTCTTCCGCAGCGATTTCCGTTCAATGTCGCGCCATGCCATAGCAAATCACCAATGCTGCTCCAAGGATCCCATTGGGTCGGCGCGATCAGCTCTGATCGATCTTTGGCCGGACAGCCGATGGGAAAATTGTGCAAAACTGAGCCCACGGGCTGCGGGATGCGCGGCTCGTCCCAAATGCCAACTCCCATGCAAACCAGATCGAAAAATTGTCTGAACAAAAACAATTTCCCCCCGAAAAAAAAAAAAAAAAGGAAAAAAAAAAGAAAAAAAAACATCCGTGGGAAAAGGCTGCTTGTGAGCAATCAAGCGCCACGAACTCCCACGAGTTTGCCCCCATTACTCGTTCACTCGGTAGTTTTTCTTTCTCATCCCTTTGCCAAGAACAAACAAGGCAGCTTGCTTCCTTCCTAAGAAACTCTCCATTTCAGAGTTCTAAGTAACAAAACAAACTTCCGCTGTGGATGAGATACACCCACTGTGACTGCTCCAGCGCTTCTGCCGGAAGTTGAAGTGCGGGAATGTCTCAAGGGGCAAACAGCCCGGCCGCATCGAGGTCATCACAACTGGACGCCCTTGACGCAGGGTCGCAACGATGGCCGACGATGGCGGCGCCACGCCGCTAGCGCTCAAATTCCCGACCGCCGCGTGTAGCAAGGAACGTAAAGCCATGACAGCTTCTGCCACGGGAGTGAGGCCTGGTACAGCGACGTCTGGCGCGGTGGGCGCCACAGCACTGAGAGTGTCGGACAGCGGATCTGCCGCGGACGCTCCAGGCGAGGGTGGGAGCTCCAGCTCCCGCACAACGCAGGGCTCTGATGCCAGCACCATTTGCACTAGTGCGTGCAGAGCACGTTGTCGTCGCACATCCTGGTTGGGCCCAGGGTGCGAAACGTCGTCCCTCCGCGCCACGTGCAAGCGCGTGCTGTCGAGACCAGCCGGTGCTGTTACTGGAAAGTGCGTGGCCTCCCGCAGCAAGTGGCACAACAGGGCAGCTCGCCAGGACCGCCCGCAGACGCACAGGCCGCCACTGCGTGCCACGCCGGCTGAGCACGGCCGAAGCGCGACCGCGAAACCGGGGCCACCAACAAGAAAGCAAGAGTTCCAGCAAAAGCCAGCCCCAGCAAAGCAACACGGCCCCCACCCATGCGAAGCTACGACCTAGATCCCTTGCAGCGGCTGTTCGTCCAGCAGCATAGTTTTCTTTTTCAGGGGGGAGCCGCGGGCAGACCAAAAAAATGCGCGCAAAGAAACAAACATGGCGTGGTGTACTGGCTGAGGACCTCCTCCGCACTGAAGGGGTCGAACCTCGTGAAAGCGACCGTCATAGCGGGCGCTGTCGTGTGCTGTCGTCGCCCACCCACGCCTCAGCACCAAGAAAACCGGGGAGCCTGTGCTGCCCTTCCTGCTGAGAAAGCGCTTGCCCGGCCTGCCGCTTCCTCACCGCTCCACGCCCTTCGCGCTTGCGCTGCGCCAGTCCGGAAGCCCGGCCTGGCTGCGACGCCCAATGCCCCGAAGCCTGCCGCGCACGATGGCCTGCTGCAACAGCGCTAGAACCGCCACAACCGCCAGCAGGTGTGGACCGCTGTTGTTCGAAAATCGGGGGATCCCTAATTCTCATCCGTCCTCTGCAGTGGAGGCAACTGAGGAAATGCCCCGTGGCGCAGCGCCGCGAGGCCAAAAATAAGTTTGAGCGTGTTTTTTCGTGAAAGAAGATGGAAAACAGAAGCCATCTTAAAGGAATTTTGTGGATTGAATCCGGCTGGACGCGGTTTACAAGGATCCTCCTGTTTTTAACACTGTCAACCCCAAAAAAAAACTGGCAACTGAGTTCAAAGATGCATTGCAGCAAATGTGCGCTGGCAAAGGAGTTGGCGCCGATAGCTTGAAATGATTAAGCATGGGGACGAAGACCTTCACCAATCGTAATAGCAGAAAATTGGAAAATATTTTGTACGAAATTTTCAATGTTGTTAAAAGCCTGTTGCACTGCTTGCTTGTTCACTACAGCCTGGCCTTTGCAGCTCTTTTTGCAGCTGATAGCCTTCTGGGCCCACGCGCACAATGTGCAGCTGCAGCCTACCCATGTGCCCGGTCGGTGCAACGACTAGCAGAGACCGCCTTCGCTTCAGCCCGTCCAGCCTTGCACAGGCCGGCCGAAGACTGTGCCCTGTCGGCAAACTTCTTCTTCCCCTTGCGCTTGCTCTTGCCATAGTTCTTCTCCGCGGCCATGGGGTTCTCTTTTGGGTGAGCTAGGGGAAGCCAGGGCGTGTAGGATGCGGCCCCGCATCTCTTGATCCGAATTGCTGGTCGGGTCTCAATTGAGTTCCAGCCCAAAACACCTGGTTTCCATCATTGCCCTTCATCTTCAAGGCCACAGACCATGCGGAATCACCTTGATCTCCTTGGCGTGGTGTGATCCGACCGTCTCGGTGACTCCCTTTCCAGCACCCCGAAACCGGCAGTCTCCCGAACAACTCCTCCAGGTCGCTCAGAATCATCCATCATCATGTCCGCGCCTCCCACGAAGACCTTCTGCTCCTCGCGCTACGTGATCATGTAGATACGTCCACTCATCAAAAGGAGTGGTGCTCCAGAATAGGTTCTTCCCTTTTCCGGAGCTTTGCCCTGATCCGCTCGCCCGATCCGGGCACTGGCGAAAACCATGGTTTCGGTCTCCGCATATGAAACGACCTGTTTACCCGTTCACCGCCATGGCACTCTCCGTCACCATCACCTTCGAGGGCTTGCCCAGGGTGGTTGAGGTGCTCGTCGAGCTGGATGAACCTTTCCAAGCCCTTCCCGAAGTTGCCCTTTAGCTTGCCCTTCTTCCATCTTCTTCCCCTTGCCTTGGTAGAACCCACGCGCACCCCCTTTTGCTCTCAGTCAACAGCTGGTTTTTCGTGCCGCTCCTTCTTGCCGGTGGAGGTCTTTTGGTTCAAAGTGCTGGTCAACCCATCCCGTTTTCGCTGTGGGTTGGCAGGCGGCCGTGTCGCAGCTCCGTCGTTCCCCTCCAGTGCCTCTGTCTCGCTTCCTGTCTGTCTTGGAAACACTCCAGAACGTTGCCGCTTTGGATGGCCGACGTGTCCTGGAGGCCGAAGCCTCGCTGGTGCCTTCGATCCGCGCAGCCGGAGCCTTTTTGCCTGTCCACGCACTTGTGCATTTTCCGTGGGTTCTGGAGCAATGCCTGTCACCACACCGCAATGTTCCTGCCCGCACAGGAGGCGTTGCTGCAAGTTTTCCTGGGCGAGCGTGCTGCCTCTGACCTGTCGGTGCTGGCTGATCGGTTGCGCGCGGGCGCTCCCCGCCCCACCGGCGAACAACCCTGTGTGCCCTCGTGCTCTCACACGAGTTCCGGAACAACAGCCGGCCGCTCCCGGCTGTCCCCCTGCTGCCGGTGGCTCCCGTACCTGCTTCGCTGACGTGCTTGCCGGTTGGACTTCCCGGGCCGCCTTTTTCGCCTTCCGCGGCGCTCTGCCAGGCCACCCAGCACATCCTCTTCGACTTCCCAGGATCTGGTGGCCCTGCTGGGCCCCACCCCTGAGCCGCTGCCGGCAGCCCGCCCTGGACTTCCAGCGGCACTAGTGGGAGCTCCGACGCCCGTCCCACTGGCGCAGCCGCCCCGACCAGAGAGCCCGTCCTTCCCGCTCCCAGCTCGCCCGTGGCCAGCCCGAACCCAGCTGCCCCGGACGGAGACGTTCCCTTGGCTTTACCCCGGATGCCTGAACTCGATAGTCAGCCCGTTCTTGCCCGTCTTGACGAGTTGGACCTTTTCGGCGTGCTCTTCCAAAGTCCGCCCAAGTTCCTCCATGGGCAGTTTCGGGCCGCTTTGTCACTGGGCCTGCAGGCCATTGACGCTGCCCGGTCCGAAGATGCCGCAGCCCAGGCGCATGCTTGAATCACCGTCGCCCTGGTGCCCGCAGGTGGACTAAACCCGAATGGCGGGCACGGCTTTTGGACTTCCATGCCGGTCGGTGGGAGGTGTTGCTCGACCATGCTGCTGCTTGTGCCCCTTCTGAAGCTGAGGCCCTCGCCCCTGCCCCACCTGACGCCGATCGTCGCGCTTAGCGCGCGGCACGCCTTGTGAGTCAGGGTGAGCTTTCTGCAGCTAGTTCAGCGCTCGTTTCCGGCCCTTTGGCCCCTTTGTCCGAGGAGACCCTCGCTGAGCTGCAGGACCCCGCCCGCCGCGTGAAGCTTATGCCCCCCTGGACTCGGCACTGTTGGATTTCCAGCCGGAGTCCCCCGATCTTGTCCAACCTGCGCCGGGCACGGAAAGGCGCTGCAGCTGGCCCTTCCGGTTGGACTTCCGAGTTTTGTCGTCTTGCTTTGGACGACGAAGCCACGAGCGCGCTGTTTGTCCGTGCTGTCACCGCCCTCGCTCAGGCCCGTGTGCCCCCAGAAGCATCAGGGCGCAAATCCGCCAGCCCGGGTAGCCAACGCAAACTGGAAAGGCTGGCAAGCGTCCAAAAACTTGGGAGCGACCGCGAGGGCTCGGGCGGTCAGTCGCCGCAGAAAGTCACCAACAACAATGCCCCTGACGCGTCCGTTCGGCCACCCTCCTCTCCGTTGACGGGGTCGGCGCCTTTGACACCATCAGCCGGCAGGCGATGTTGCAAGCCTTGCGGGACACGCCGGGCGTTGATGCCGTAGAGCAGGCAGGATCATGCGAATCAGCACGGGAGCGCGTTTTCCTACCTTTCTGCTCAACTCGTGGGCCTAAAGGCCAGTCGGGGATGATTTCCCTCATGCATACGCTAACATGTTCACACAGCTCCAAAATAGAGCCAATTTCTGTTGGCTTCTGCTTGTTGAACTTCGAGGGGATCTGGATGTTCCCGCTCGCCATGAGTCCCCACCATTTCCGTGGGCACATCCTCTTCGTGAGAACATCGCTCATCTGCCATTCGGAGCGGCACCTTCATGGGGCGTGTCGGCGTTGGCTCCAGGCCAGGGTTCCTCAGCTCCCATTGCCGCTGTCCTTCCTGACGGAGAATCTGTCGAAGACCCGCCAGGTCGATGGCCAGCCGCTTCTCCGACGGTGCCTTTGGTGCTCCCGCTCCGTGGATGCGGTCGTACAGGGAGCGGCAGTCGGTCATGAGGTGGAAGTCCATCACGCCCGACTCGGACTTCTGGAAACTGCTCCACAGGTCTCGC